AGTAATTCAGTGTCCGACCATTTCTCCCTTATACCTCTAACATGTGAAAACATTTGAAATAAAACTCCAACGGTGATCATTTCATTCAACCAGTCATTTCATTCATTGCATTTCATTCACTGGCCGGTACTTCACCAGATTTCGTGGTCATACTCGAGTATACCAAACACTGTCTCAGGGTCACCAGCCGCAAGATCAAATCCGCTTCTGACTCGAGTGAACTGGTAACGAAGGGCAAGGATCTAATTCAGCCAAAGATTTACATTCATGCAGAAGTAACATTCAATCATTTGATCATTGAAAATCCACATTCACTTACGTTGAGTGCGATAAAGTACATACTCGCCCATTGAAAATCCATTTAACAATCATTGAAAAGCTTTTGGTCATTTGAAATACAATATGCAAAGAATACTCACCGATATCAGTAGATTAAACGTCAACTCTTTGGATGATAACCTTAATCTCTACCAAACCATGAGTCAAGATTCACAATTACAATAGATTTAAACTTAGTACATTCAAGTAGCCAAAACATACACGTCTAGTATTCCAAGGAATTCCATATGCTTCTCACTTTGAACTCGAGACTTTAAGATAAAATCCAACACAAGTATTCTAAAAGAGAGGAAAGCAATTTAAGCATCCAAAATCACACCAAATTAAGGTTTAAGACCTAAAAAAAAATTTTCAAAGTTTTTCAAGTCCCACTTAATTCATTTGACAAAATCCTTTTTGAAAGAGCATAACTTGAGTTCCGTATGTCAAAAAATCACAAACCTTACACCATTAGAAAATATGCTCGAAGCACTAACAGGTTTTAGAAGACATTTTCATGAAATTCAACTTATAGGTTAGTCAAATTTGAGTTCAAACTTACTGCTATCTCATGTGCAAAAGCAGAACAGTTATAGTTTTCAAGAAAATTTGTAGATTTGCTAGTATTTATAGAAGTTGAACCAAACCCTAAAATTTATACCGTTGAAAGACCTATGAGTCTAGTTTCAAACGCAATAAACGGAACTCAATTTTGACTTTTTTATACGAAGTTATAGCCAATTTCCCAAAGTTGCGCAGGGCTTCCTATGAAAATTTTTCAGCAAGCAATTAGTTTGGAAAACTAGGTTTTTCTCTTCTTAAACCTCTTTATTTTGGCTCAAAACTAACACATATGTAAAGAGATAGATTGTAACAAGTGTTTTGAGTAAAATCATATGCAAGAGGAAAATAAAATACCCAAAATTTACACCTCAACCCTCACTTGACCATTGAGGATGCTCACCTCGGCCACCCCGCATGTCCGAGGTGAACCCACCTCGTCCCTCATCAGAGTTCATCCGTGTCTTGAGCATAACCCCTGAGCTCGGCCGGATCCCTAATCTACCGTGTAGGTGACCTCGGCACCTCCACCTCAGCTGCATGCTGATGATCTCAAGCCACCTGACATCACCCGGGACCAGTGCTTTATCTGAAAAGCACTGGAGGCACTTAATGGCACCTGCACAATACTCTCCGTCATCATACCCAGAAGGCTACAGTGTCAGGGTCAGGCCTCCTGACAGGGGACAGAGCCGTAATGCCAGACAGTGGGTCCCACTAGCATGAGCCTTCCGTCCTGTCCTCTACTCTCCTATAAATACCCCACACACACTCCCAACAAGTAAGCATACTGTTCACTCACTCATACTCTTATTATTCTCGTTCTCATACTAACTTGATCGTCGGAGTGATCCCAGGGGAAAAGCCCCGCCTCCCACTTCGACCGTGCAACCTCACTTCATTCCACCCTAGGTGAGATAATCGAGTTCACCTCACCACATTAACAAGAGAGCTGATTTCGGTTGGACTAATTACCCGCCAAAAATCACCTCTTCAATTGGCGCCGTCTGTGGGAAAGAGATTACTACTAAAATGAGATCCACGCGCTCTAGAAGCGGAAGAGTTCCCTCAAACGGGGCTGGGCAGACCTCGGGAGCCCAGCAAGATTGCATTTCTGAAGAGCAAGGGTCCCAAAGGACCCAGCCCAACAACGAAGACGCCATCGCCAAGATGGCCTAGTTCGTCACGGACAACCCAACATTTTTTAGGAGCTAGGAAGATATCTCAAGAGGCAAGGGAAAGAAAAAGCCGAGTCTTCCAAGAGGAGATCGACGAAATCCCCTGAAATACCTTCAGGTGAGGACTCCGAGGAGGGGCGTTTATCTCGGAGTACCTCCAGGCGCGCCTCCTCCAAGGCAACCTCCAAAATTGCCTCCATCTCCCGGGCGTTTTCCCTGGGACTAGTAGGAAAACGAGTCGAGGACCCACCTCGGCGCCCCGGGGGCCTAGCTTCTGACTACATGAGGGCTCCGCCCTTCACTGATGACATCAATGGGGAGATGGTGCCCCCGAACTTTAAGCTTCCAAACTTGCACACCTATGACGCCCGAGGTGACCCCGAGGATCACCTCCGCGCCTTCATCTCCGCATTCCGACTCTACTGCCTCCCTGACGCCGTGATCTGTCGGGTTTTTCCCATCTTCTTACATGAGATTGCCCGGAAGTGATTCTGGAGTTTAGAACCAAGGAGTATTTCCTCCCTGGATGAGCTGATAGACCGGTTCGTCCACCGCTTTGTGTCGTCCCGACCCATTACAAAGACTTCAGCTTACCTCCTGAATTTGCAACAGACTCCCGGCGAGTCACTGCGCTCATATGCGCAGAGGTTCAATGAGGAGAACATACAGATACCTGATCAAAATGAGCAAGTTACCATAGCCGCTTTCACCAACAGGCTGATTGCGGGAATCTTCAACACCGAAATACATCGAGACTACCCCCGCACACTTCGGAAACTTTGGGAACGAGTTGACCAAGGAATCCAAAGTGAGGACGTGAATCGCATGAAGCAGGAGGCCCAAGCAGCCCGTACCGGGCAAGAATCCCGGAGGAGAAAGGACACCGGCCGAACTGAACAAGGCCCCGGTAGCTCATCCAGCCAGTTCCGAGACCGCCGAAGCATCTTCGATCGGATCGTGAAGGGAGGTCGTCCACTTCGGACACCGAGCTGACACCCCTCAATTCCAGCCGATCCCATATTTTGGCTGTGATTAGGCAGAATCACCTACGTCGAACTCCTCCTGAGATCCCAGGAAGAAGGGATAAGAGGAATTCCAACCTCTACTGTGCCTACCACCGAGATGTGGGGCACGAGACCGACGACTGTAACGACTTGAAGCAAGAAATTGAAAACCTGATCCGACAAGGATACTTGAAGCAATTCGTCCGTAAAGATGGGGGCTTTAACCGAAGCGCCTCCCACCGGGAGAGCCGAGGTCCTCGCCGAGAAGACAGGCGGGACACTAAACTTCAATGCCGAGGTCCCGAGGACCGAAAGGGGGATCAGAGGCCTCCACGCGACGGATCACCAGGCTATGACCCAAATATTGTCTGGGTGATCAACACTATCTCGGGTGGCCCCACGGGAGGAGACAGCCAGAACTCCCGAAAAAGGACCTACCGCCAAGCCGGTATGGAGGTGGCCGAGCAAAATTCTAGGCTGTCCGAGGATATAACCTATGGTCCCTGTGACCCTGTACCCGCCGCCTCCAATAATCACGAGACCCTAGTGATCGAGGTCCTTACTAATAATTATATAGTCAAAAAGGTCTATGTTGACCCCGGAAGCTCGGTAGACGTCCTGTACTACCGAACTTTCGAGAGTTTGAAGTTGACCCGGGAGCAACTCACTCCGGTCAGAACTCCCCTCATCGGCTTCGGGGGACACGTCGTACACCCGGAGGGTATGGTGACCTTGATGGTGGCTATCAGGCGCCATCCCCACTGCCGAACCGTGCCTGTCAGTTTTGCGGTGGTCAAAGCGGACTCTCCTTACAACATGCTGATAGGCCGACCCACGCTCAATGCCTTGAGAGTTGTGTACTCTACCTACCATCTGAGTTTCAAGTTTCCAACGCCAGAGGGGGTGGCCGAGGTGAGCAGCGACGTGAGCGCCGCCCGGGAATGCTACCTCGCCACCATCCAAGCAGCAGTCGCACCTCGGCCCTCGCCGAGGTCAGAAGAGAAGAGGCCGGCTGTTCTCTCCATAGACTGCATCGACCCTCAGAAGGCAGGAGAGCCCAGCAGACTTGAGCTCGGGGATGAGGTGGAACAAGTGGTCTTGGATGAGGCGAGACCTGATCAAGTGGTCCAAGTAGGGGCCGGACTCCCCTCGCCCCTAAAGGAAGAAATGATCTCCTTGATCAAGGACCACCGAAACGTCTTCGCGTGGTCCGCTGATGAAGTGGTCGGAGTGCCACCCGAGCTCACTAGCTCAACGTTAACCCACAGGCGCGACCTGTGCGGTAGAAACGAAGGCACTTCGGCCCCGAACGTAGCAAGGCCATATCGGATGAGGTCGACAAGCTCTTGCCGGCCAAGATGATCCAAGAGGTCCAATATCCCACCTGGCTGTCCAACCCAGTCATGGTCAAAAAGGATATCGGTGGTTGGAGAATGTGTGTGGACTTCACTGATCTCAACAAGGTCTGCCCCAAAGATTGCTACCCTCTGCCGAGAATAGACGCCCTTGTCGACTCGGTAATGGGACACGTGATCCTTTGCTTCCTGGATGCCTTCAAAGGGTGCCATCAAATAGGAATGAGTGAAGAGGATCAAGAGAAGACGGCGTTCTACACCGACCAAGGTGTTTATTGTTATACTACCATGCCGTTCGGCCTAAAGAACGCCGGAGCGACCTACCAAAGGCTGATCAACCGACTCTTCAAAAATCAGATCGACCGTAATATGGAGGCCTATGTGGACGACATTCTCGTCAAAAGCCTCACCACTTCAGCCTTTCTGTCGGACGTAAGGGAGGTCTTCGGTGTCCTACGGGACTCAAGGATGAAACTCAATCCCAAGAAGTGCGTCTCGGCGTCACCTCGGAAAAATTCCTGGGGTATCTGGTTTTTCACCGGGGAATAGAGGCCAACCCCGACAAGGTTAAGGCCATTCAGGACATGTCCCTACCTCGGAACATCCGAGAAGTCCAAAGGCTGAATGGACGCCTGACCGCGCTGAACCGCTTCCTGTCCCAATCAGCTGAGAAGGCTCTGCCCTTCTTTAAGGTGCTCAAGAAGGCTGATCAATTTGCCTGGACGGAAGAGTGCCAGTCTGCTTTCGACAAGTTGAAGCAATACCTCCATCACTTACCCACTCTCGCTTCACCTCGGCCCGAGGAGAAGCTCTACCTCTACCTCTCCGCAGCCGACGAGACTGTCAGCGCTGTGCTTATCCGAGATGAGGGCACTCAAGTGCCAGTCTACTATGTCAGCCGAGCTCTCCGCGGGCCAGAGACTCGGTACACCCAAGTGGAGAAACTCGTACTAGGACTGGTCCACGCAACCCGGCGGCTGAAGCCTTACTTCCTGGCTCATCCCATCTCCGTCAGGACCGACCAGCCCATCCGGCAGATATTGGTGCGTCCCGAGACTTCTGGTCGCCTCACCAAATGGGCTGTCGAATTGGGAGAGTATGACTTGTCATATGAGCCCCGCACTGCCATAAAAGCACAAGCCTTAGCCGACTTCCTCGCCGAGCTGACCTTCACGGAAGGTCCAGAGTCCACCTCCGCCAGTGCCGAGGTGTCCACCCCACCCCCATGGACATTGTATGTCGATGGATCCTCTAATGGAGATGGCTGCAGAGCCGGACTGCTCCTGGAAGGACCTCAGGGAGAGGTGTGCTCGTACGCCCTCCGCTTTGGCTTCCCGGCCACCAATAATGAAGTCGAGTACGAGACTCTGATCGCTGGATTCCAGCTAACCCGTAGACTCGGAGCCCAACAGATCCATGTCCGCAATGACTCCCAACTAGTAGTACGCCAGGTTCTTGGTGAATACAAAACCAAGAAAGAGACCATGCAACGGTATCTCTCCAAAGTTCATCAACTTACCGCGTACTTCGAGTCCTTCGAAATCCAAAGGATACCCCGGTCCCAGAATAAGCGGACCGACGCCTTATCCCGGCTGGCTTCCACATCATTCTCTGACCTCAACAAAACAGTCTTAGTGGAAGTCCTGAATGAATCGGGATACATGGAGGAGGTGGCCTACCCTGTGTACTCTGAAGATACTTGGATGACCCCGTTCATCCTCTTCTTGGGTCAGGGAACCCTTCCCGAAGACCGAGCCGAGGCGAGGAAGATACAACGCAAGGCTGCTCGGTATGCTCTCCGCGATGGAGAACTGTATAAGCGCTCCTACCTCGGCCCGTGGCTGAGGTGTGTCACCCCGAGGCAGGACGCCATGTCCTCCACGAGATCCACGAAGGCCTGTGTGGAGCTCACGTTGGCCACAGAATACTAGCCAAGAAGGCTTTGGTTCTCGAATATTTCTGGCCCTCTGTTCGGCAAGACGCCCATGATCTCGTTCTCGGCTGCCCTTCCTGCCAAGTCCACGCACCCGAACATCACCAGCCCGCAAGCTTCATGGTTCCCATCACTTCACCTTGACCGTTTGAGCAATGGGGGACAGACATCATAGGTCCTTTCCCCAGAGCCGTCGGGAGTTATACTTTTCTGGTAACCGCTGTGGATTATTTCACCAAGTGGGTTGAGGCGAGCCTCTGAGGACCATCACCGGGCTGGCAATTCAAAAATTCTTTTAGAAATGCATCGTGTGCCGCTTCAGCATACCTCAGGTCATCATCTCGGATAATGGAAGGCAATTTGCCGAGAACCCCTTTAAAACTTGGTGCACAAACCTTGGCATCAAACAACATTTCACTTCGGTGGGCCACCTCCAGGCCAACGGTCAAGCAGAAAACTTCAACCGAACTCTCCTGCATGGTCTCAAGACCCGACTATACTGAGTTGGGTCATTTTGGGTGGAGGAACTCCAGTGTCCTGTGGTCGTATCGAACCACGCCGAGTTCAGCAACGCAAGAGACCCCCTTCTCCCTGACCTACGGCGCCGAGGCTGTCATCCAGGCTGAGATCCTTACCCACAACCCTCGGCTGGCAGCCTATGCCGCCGCCGAGGTGAACGACGAAGAGAGACAGCTGGATCTCGACCTCGTCGAGAAACGAAGGGACCTCGCCTCAGCCCGGATAGCTTCCTACAAGAACACACTGGCACACTATTACAATGCCCGCGTCAGACACCGTAGATTCCAGCCTGGAGACTTGGTTCTCAGAAAAAACTCGATCAGCCGAGCTGAACCGCAAGGGAAATTGTGCCCGAAATGGGAATGCCCTTACCGAGTTGTGGAATCTGACCTTAAGGGATATTGTAAATTGAGCTACCGAGATGGTTCACCAGTGCCGAGGTCTTGGCACGCCGAGAACCTCAAAATGTATTATTCTTGAATTTTTAATCAAGTAATGACTTCGGATGTTATGTTATTTTTCAACATCGATATTACGCTATTCAAAAATAAGGGGACAAGCAAGGGACGAAGTCAAGACAAGAAATTAAAGTGCCAAAATAAGAAGAAATAAACATTTCATTTAATGAAAGGACAACACAAAAAAGAATACAAGGCTGAGGTAGGGAGTGCTGCTAAGCATCTCCCACCTCGGAACCCTACCTAAATGACTACAAGCCGACCCCTGTCTCGGCTCTCTCCTCCGTCTCGGCTCCCTCCGGGACAGCCTTCTCTCCGGTCTCTTCCCCGCCGGGGTGAAGATCTCCTCCTCCCTGCTGTTCGCCGACGTCTCCCCCAGCTCCTACTCCATCGCCCACCTCGAATACCTCGTCGAGTTCGGACAGTCACTTGTTGAATTCGTCCCGGACTTCGGACAAGTTCCTTCCAGCTTGGAGGCCCTCGGCCATCCGATCGCACAATTCCTTGGAGTCCTCATTGTAGTTGGCATTGTCTTTCAGAGACTCCAAGGCTTCAGAGGAGAGGTGAGCTGCGGCCTCCTCCACGACTGACGTGAAGCCGAACATGAAGCTCGGCGCGAGTAGTTGGCCGAGATCCCGGGTGAAGTCCTCGGACCTCCGAAATGCGTTCACAGCCGAGGCCCCAGCACTCTCGAGGTCTTGTTCGTGGGACTTCTTCGCCTCGTCCCCCCTCTTCTGCTCTTCTTCGAGAGCCGATTGAGGCTGTTGATTGTGTAGCCACGACCTCCTCATCCTTCGTCTCGGCCTCTTTAAGCTGTCCTTAAAGCTCGGTCTTCTCAAACTCTGACACGGCCAGTTTTTTTTTCAACTTGGAGATCTGATTTTGTAACTTGCCGGAGTCCTGCTCCTCGACCAGAGCACAGTATCGGTGTGTCATCTCGCCCACAAAGGTTGAGTTGGAGGCTGTGGTCACCATGAGGCTTTGAACCACTTCGGCCGGAGTCAGTTTCTTCATATACTCCAAGTCCCTTGGCAAGGTGGACTGCATCACCAGCTCTTGTGCAACCCAAGGATGGCTGCACCTGTCGTTGACCGTAAGTGTCCAGTTCGGACACCAATGCTCGCCGGGGTGCGTTTTCTCCTTCCCAGAAAACACCGGGGGCTATGGAAACGGTTCCATAGTGAGGTCCCCGAGACCGGATTGATTGGGTGCTTCAGCTGCTTACCTCGGCCATAAGGAGGCGGGAGTGCCCTGACAATTTCAAGAGGCACTCCCTTTGACACAGGAGAGGTAGACCCAGTAGCCGCGGCGGCCGAGCTGCTTTGGGCTGCCGTGGCGGGAGTGCTCTTGGCCGCCGAAATCTTGGCGGCCTGCCCTTGTGACTTCTTCTTCGGCGGAGGGGCCGACGTCTCATCGGAGCTCTTCCTCTTCGACCTTTTGGCCACCTCGGCCGAACCCGATGTGACGATATCGGACAATTTGACCACTGCACAAGAAACAAACATTATTATTTGCCACAGCCGAAATGAAAGAAAAGCCATGAAAGAAAAATTACAAGGTTTTTTAAGTTTAGTGGAAGTGAAGGGAGCCTTGTCAGGACTGAGCAAAACTCGGCTAATCCCCCGTCAACCAGCACGGCTTCGGGGTAGTCCAAACTGTATATCCGAAGTCCTGACCCCATTAGCTTCTGGAAGGCCTCCTCCTCGGCATCCCCTGCGGAGGGGTCGGCTTTCGCTTTAATTGGCCTTCACCAAAAACCCCTGGGGAAGTCCACTCCGGATACAAAGAAGAAGTCGCGCTTCCAATTCTTGATCGAACTGGGAGCACTAATCACGAACTTCGGGATGGCATTGTTCCGGTTGCAGATATAAAATCATCCCTTGTCCGTCCCATGCGCCTTGAGAGTGTAGCATCGGCGGAAGAGATCAACAGAGGGAGTCACCTCCTGATGTCGACACAACATCTCGAAGCCTACGAGGATGCGGACGGCGTTTGGAGTGAGTTGAGTCATCCTCACGCGGAAGTGACGAAGTACGTCTCTCAAGAATCTCGACGTCGGCATCCTCAGCCCGGCCTCCAACTGTTGGACGTAGATGGCCACCATGCCCATGGGGGGCTTCTCGGCTGAGTCATCTGGCCCGGGCGGTGTGATGATATACCCCGGCTGGAAAGGGTACTTGTTTAACACCTTTTCGGCCCTATCTCTTCCTATGCGACTTCTAAACTTCGGCATCTTGCCGAAGTCGATGTTGGTCGCGTCTCTCGGAGCGACTGGCTCCGGTATGCCCTCGTCATGGGGTATCTCGGTCCCGAGCTCGGTATCGTAGACGACCTCGGAACCACCCTCGCTCATCTCGGATGACTCCAATTCCGAGCCTGCCTCGCCGGCTCTCACCTCGGCTGATCCTTCCTCAGAACTCGGCGTCGACCCCTCAGAGCTGGACGTCGTCACTTCTTCAGGATCCGGCCTCATCTCGGTCTGGTAGGTCGGTGTCACGATTTCTTTATGGGTCTTAGCTATTTTGGCCATGTGTGTAAGACGAGATGGAAAGAAAATTACTTACTGTTGACTACGGTATCGAACGAAGATGATGAGTTCGGCTGGGATCTCGGCTGGCAGGATTGATCTCGGCAACATTCGTAAATTTTGCAAGTCGCAGGCAAAGAAAGAAAGTGATGGGCCATACGGTGAAAAAGACCCCCTATTTATAAGGGTTTGGGGGGAATCCGAAGAGGCGGCAAGAATGAGAAAAGACGGCCACGTTCGAATTCAAAACGCCGTGCCTCCCTCTCTCCTCATTAATGCCCCGTCCTTTCGACTGACACCCTCTACACGAAACGTCCCACTACTTCACGACGCGACGGTTACCAGTGACCACGTCCTGTCAACTGACTCGCCCATGTGTCACGTCCCCGCATCTTCCGGAGCAGTTTCGGGACCCCGACTCTTTACGACTTCGGCACAAGGAAGCCTCGGTACCTCCCTGGCCCGGAGCTCCAGAGGCTTGGGGGGCTTATTGAGGATGGTCACCTCGGCCACCCCGCATGTCCGAGGTGAACCCACCTCGTCCCTCATCAGAGCTCATCCGTGTCTTGAGTATAACCCCTGAGTTCGGCCGGATCCCTAGTCTACCGTGTAGGTGACATCGGCACCTCCACCTCAGCTGCACGCTGATGATGTCAAGCCACCTGACATCACCCGGGACCAGTGCTTTATCTGAAAAGCACTGGAGGCATTTAATGGCACCTGCACAATACTCTCCGTCATCATACCCAGAAGGCTACAGTGTCAGGGTCAGGCCTCCTGACAGGGGACAGAGCCGTAATGCCAGACAGTGGGTCCCACTAGCATGAGCCTTCCGTCCTGTCCTCTACTCTCCTATAAATACCCCACACACACTCCCAACAAGTAAGCATACTGTTCACTCACTCATACTCTTATTATTCTCGTTCTCATACTAACTTGATCGTCGGAGTGATCCCAGGGGAAAAGCCCCGCCTCCACTTCGACCGTGCAACCTCACTTCATTCCACCCTAGGTGAGATAATCGAGTTCACCTCACCACATTAACCAGAGAGCTGATTTCGGTTGGACTAATTACCCGCCAAAAATCACCTCTTCAACCAACAAGGAGAAAATCCAACATTATGTCTCCATATCTCTTTAAATTAATCATCCAATTCAAATCTTAATTTCATAGTAAATGAATCCCAATCAAGAACACATATTGTAGGGGACAAATGGTGCATACACTAAGTTACAAAACTATTAATTTTAAACATATATATCAAGCTCCAAGTCACTTACACCAAAGCTGAAATTTTCATCTCAAAGTTGGAAATTAGCCACTAAAGCTGAAAAATCACACATAGGAGCTAGAAAACCTCATCTCAAGGCTAAAAAGTTTATCCAACCTCATATCAAAGCTAAACCATTCATATCAAGGCTGTCCAATAATTTCAAAACTGAAAATTACAACCTACTAAGCAAATCATGAAATCTTCCATAAAATTCATCACA